TATTTGTACATTGATATTATGTTTGGGATAAGGGAAAGTAACTCCTTGATGTAAACAGACTTGTTCAGTACTCTTGAGATATAGTAACCCTTTCACTAGGGATATTTAATTTGAGATATTTACTAGACTATTATCTTCAGTGAATAGTATCAAGTATCTGACAATGAGTTACTGGTATTCATATAAGGTAAACTGTTGGGTATAAATATTTGGTGATATTGGATTTATTCCCTCAACAGATACAGGCCATACAGTCCATATGTATAACACACTAGCCATCACACACTGTTAAGGATCAAAAGCCAATTTCAGCAAATAGATATATAATTTGTAAGTAGGGCTACACCAACTCCTGTAAGTAAAGTAGTAATTCTTTAATTAAATTGAAGGGAGTTACTCCATATCTTGATGTAAGCTTAAAAAAGAAGAAGAAAATAGAAAACATAAAAAACACACACAAAAAAAAACACAAAAAAAACACAAAAATACACACAAAAAAAAAGAAAGAAAAAACCATCTAAGCTGCCCAGAGACAATTTCATTCAATAGGTGTATATACCAGCTAAATTAGTAATTATCAAAGGTAGAATAAAGTATCTAATTAATCTATATTATATTACATTAGATATATCTTGTACTACTATATCATTGTAGTTCACTGTGGGAGGTACAAAGCTTTTATACATATAACTTGAAAGAAAATAAAAAGAATAAAAGAATAATAAAAAAATGTAAGAATGTATAATTATGTTCCAAAAAATAGTAAGGGTAAGTCAAATATTATATTAATGAAAATCTTTTTGATTGCGATATAAAGTTTGGTACATGAGATAAGATATCTCTATTTTGTAAATCATTACAACTATTACAACCATTTATTAGGACATTTATACACAGATGATTGTGAGTGTGTTGATTCAAACTCCGTTTGAGAGTCTGGCGAATATTATTATATTGATTACATTCAGAAAAATAATGTGCAGCAGTTTCGAAAGATCCGTTACACTCACACATTGGAGATTCAATTAAGTGATCTTTATAACGATCATAATTTAGATTACTAGCATTATTTCTTAATTGGCAAAGTATAATGTTTACATCACGATTGCCAAAGTATTTAAAAACATCATTTGTTTCAGATTTCATATATTGCTTTGTAGTTAGTAACCTTTTTAACTGTGTGGTAGATTGGATGCTAGTAATATCTGGGGCAAGTCTATTCATTTCATTTAGCATGGACGGAAAAAAACTTTCAAAATATTTTACAGTACGACATAAAGGGGGGTCAAATAATCTGTTTGTTCGGAGGGGATATCTGTCAAGGGTTTCATCATGAATATATGGTTGAATAATTTCTCTTAGGTAATCTGGGGTTTCATTATTCATTATTCTATACATTAAAATTAGTTTATGTTTATTTCTTCTGCAGCTCAAAGTTTCCCATCCTAATTCCTTGTATAATTTATCATGTGATGTCCCTCTACGTAAACCTGTAATTAATCTTGCAGCCTCTAATTGTATTGATTCTAATAGGTTTTTTTGAGCTAGTGTGCAATTGTCCCACACAACATCTGCATATTCAATAACTGGTCTTATGTAGGATATATATAAGGTTGTCAAGGATTTTCTATCAATTTTATTTTTTAGTAACCTTAAGATATTTATTCTTTTAAATGCTTTTTCATATATATTAGATATGTGTTGGTTCCATTTGGCATCATCACTAAGTGTAAGGCCCAGATGTGTATGTGTTTTGCTTTCAACAATTGGTGCGTCATAAAAATTAACAATAGGATGATTCTTATTAGTTTTCCTTGAGAAAATTACAGATTCAGTTTTAGAAGGATTAAATTTAATGTCCCATTTAGTGGCCCACAGCTTAATATTACTCAAGTCATTGGAAAGATTTTGTGCCAATTCAATGGGATTATTATCACATATACCATAGAGAGAGGTGTCATCTGCAAATAATTTAATTTTACTGGAAACACAATCAACAATATCATTTATATATATTAAAAACAATAACGGACCGAGGACTGAGCCTTGTGGAACCCCTGCTTGAACAGGGTCAAAGGTTGATGTATAACCTTCAGTTAGTACTCTCTGCTTTCTGTCTGATAAAAAGTTACGAAACCAATTTAAAAGATTACCTTTAACACCATATGATTCCAACTTGTAAAGCAGACCATTGTGCCAAACTCTATCAAAAGCCTTGCTTATGTCACAGAATATAATTCTGATTTCTTTATTTTGATCTAGGCAATTAACAATGGTATGGTAAATAGACAATAATTGATTTACAGTTGAATCTTTAGGTGTAAAGCCAGACTGGTGTTTTGTAATGATTTTATATGTACTGTGGTAATTATATAGATATTTGAAAACGATTTTTTCTAACATTTTACTAAAACATGAAGTAACAGAGATTGGTCTGTAATTAGACACCTCATTAACTAATCCTTTACCTTTATAAATAGCGTAAGGTTGGTACACATCTACCTATAAGTTTCAGAGGAGAAGACTTAAAAGGTTTTGCACCATGTCATTTTCACCTACCCCTTAGACACATATATGCAGAACTCGATAAATGCAGGCGACATTACTAGATAAACCCCATACGATGTGACTGCAGACGAAGATGGTACATACGTACATGATTTTGCAAAACTTCTGGCCACTATGAAAGTAACAGTAGTGGACTTGCAAAGCATAGAAGACTGATGTAACAATTAGCCTTATCATTTAACTTATCGGTATACATACCGTATGCTTTCAGTATCTATAATAGACATCGCAAAAACACTGTTGGAGTGAGGAAAAGTTTATATTTTCTAATTTGTTCTAATTTCACTTTCTTCTACAACATAGTAATGGAGAAGTTTTAACAGTCAGAGGAGTTCTTTTCAAAATCTCAGAGGTAAACTACATCGTGTGAGAATAGTTGTGATATATTAAATACTTCTAATTGCCTACGTGTGTCATTTGTATTATTGACTTTTCACTTATCACTTTTGAATGATTAACCTGATTTTACAAACAACTTTTTTATAATTCTCTGCATTAAAATATTGAATTAAACCAGGATATGATAATATAGGGTAGCTTTTGTTTAAACGGATAATGTAGAGACATGAATATTTAAAATCCAAACATAATGAGCAGGTGAAGCACCACTCATTTTAAAGGAGAGGCCAAACTCAATACGGTACCTGTTATATTCCTATTTATGCAACATGTTCTAAATGAAGGCCTTACTAAATGTATTTACCTGTACCTGTATTTTAACTTTCAAACAGCAAACAAAAAGGACTCAGCATTCTACATTCTATTCTTGGGGACTGTCAGAAAATGGTCATATACACTAAATACAAAACTATGATCACACCCTGTCCACCCTATCGATGCATGCGCGGCTTAAGACTATTTTACATACTTTCTGAAGCTCTGCCTTTAACCTTCTGGAAGGTTTGGTTGGTATGCATGATTTGCAGAACAGGGTGCAATCCTGTGACATTCCATAACAAGTTTTAAGATCGCAAGTCACTTGCGAGGACTTGAAGTCTCGTACACCTGGCCTGCTGCCCATCAGATAGTCCTATCACTTTAATTAAGAGCAATAAGATTGCATTTAGGATGATATAAGCAAGTTATTTTCATTAGGCAAACCGCTTCATGGTTGAACAAATATTTTGTCATTTAAATGCTGTAAACTATTTTATTCAATTATTTATCACAGAACGGATAACAGAGATTTAATATGCTAGATATGCTTAATGGTCATGTATGATAAAACAAAAATCCTGTATCGGAACAGTCCGTATATAAATCGGTCCAAAATATCTTTCAGTGCGAAATCAGTATTAAATTAAAGTTGAACCTCGCCTTGTGGGTTTGTGTGATAGCAACAATAGCATTGAGCTCTTAAAACCAAATGTAGTCAGTATGTAAAGTTATAGGGGCCATTCAATGGTACAGTAAACGATACAAAAGATGGGTAAAAATGACACACAATACACAAGAATGTATGTGATGACGCGCTAATTGTAAGGTAATACTGCGTCAAACATGCCCCGTCAACAATGTATGATCGCATTACATCACGTGATGGGATCCACTTTAAGTGTATTGAGGTCAGCAAGGTAGGTCTGTACGTCTATACCATATAATGCATACAATTATAGGGGTGCTAGTATATATATGGTGACAACTGTGTATCCAGTAGACAGACTGGACATTAAACTGACAAGGTATTGTTCTGTTTTTCCGCAATGTCAGTTTGTAGTGTACAGTACTAATATACTACATGAACTGATAAAAATTGACATGGAGATCTAATGACAACCTGACTTTTTCGCATAGTCTTTATACAATTCAACCAGTACGAGGTACAGGATTACCGATTGGAAATGGAAGAAACACTTGCTATACCTATATATATATCTATATATGATACTACAACATTTCTAAATAACCTAATAATAATAACCTTATAACCTAAATAACAGTTTTAATACCTGATTTTATAAAACAAAAAGATAATCCCATTGATGTCTTCGTATCTGGTATAAATCGAAGGGGAGGGGTACAATCTGATTTTGTTTAGTTTATCGTGAACGAGTTATGAACATAACTTTTAATATACGACGTGACAGTATACCATGTTCATCATAAACACACAATTCCATTTGTTTCGGGTTACGTTGTATGTATAACACACACATGTGCAATTATCAATATATACAGGCTAGTGTGCGATATTTTGTCTCTCTGTACATATAACGGAGCTGTGTTTATTTGTCTCTGCGTGCTGTAAGCATTACAAACAGTACAGGAATCAAATTAAACAGATATATTATTTTACATTAACAAAATATAATATGCGATTAATTATTGTACATACTCAATGTACTTTCGTTTTGTCATGTGTCTATATATATATTTATTCACCAAGGCATGTCAAAACAGGTAGGATAGCATGTGACATAAATAACCCGGGTTTATACACAAGGAAGGTAAATATTCTCGATCGTAGTCGAAATGTGGCGAAGCTGTTAAGGAATTCTAACAACAAATGGCCTTTCCTCACGGAATATCAGCATCTGACGGTAATTTTATTGTTTTTACTGTTTCTCACGAATTTTTTGTATAGATACAATATTCAACGTGTTACTTACATACGTAAACACACACTCTACACACAAAACTCGGGAACACACCCATATACACAACCCCTAACAAAAATATGTCTGACGCTGTTACTGTCGCCTGCTTGTATATTGGAAACAGTCCTTGACTGTCAATTATCTAGGAATCATAGGCAATTCTGAGTTGTTACGAATAAGAAATGAAAATTATAAAAGTTTTCTTAACTGCAACTATTGACATGTCTGTTCATTAAACGAGATGGTATGTATGTGGAGCCCTATGCAAAGCATTGTCAGTTTTACTTTCATTATTCTGATACAGTACTGGGGTAGTATGCTTCGTTTTTAAACTATATATATTTAGTAGATGGATAGATCCGATCACTTAGAAAGACCACAACAAGTTATAAACTCTCAATTCGGCAAATCTTTGTATTTAATACAAAAATCATACTTCTTCATACGAACACAATTTTTTACCTGCATATTATTGTCTTTGTTAAATCACTTCTGTAACGAAACTCAGAGGGACTTTTATGAAAAATAAATCTAACGTGACGAAATCAACAAAGGTGTCCTGGGAGTAAAAGTAAATACAATGACGGGAGAGATACTATATTTATGAACACTACAGAGAATGTTCGCTAGTGTTTTGTAAGCAAAACAGGAGTGATCGTTGCACATGTGTGCTTCAAGAGCGATGGTGAGCACGTCATCTGATTTCATATGCTTCTAGTTAAAGTTTTTATTTTGAATTTATGTTATCACTGACGTTTAACTAATACTCTTTAAGATCAGCTATGTGGTTTTCTTACTGCTAGAAAAAATACTGATATACTAAACTAGTAACAAGGTTAAGAGTTTAGGAGGGCCTTAATAATAAGCATTGTCAGTTATCCTATGATTTTGCCAATGCAGTGCGATGCATTGTCAACTTAGTTTTTAATTATATATTCAGTTGAAGGTTAAATCCAATCACTCTGACGTACAAATAAATTTCCAATACACATGGTTATGTAGGATGAGTCGATTATAAAATTGTACATGTATAGACAGTTTATGTGTACATACGTGCGCATTGTTCGGCAGTGTGAACAATAGACGTAATTAGCAATGACTCGACTCGAATACAATAGCACTATTCTTTGTTCCTTTATATAAATGGTGCCTTATCAGGATAAAGTATGCGGCCTTGCGATACATACTTACTGAACACTACTTAAGCTCTAACAATTAGTTATATTTTTAACCTGCATGTCAATGTCTAAGATCAGCGATGTGATTTTCGTACAACTAACAAAATTACTGATATACTAAACTAGTTCCAAGGTTAAGAGTTTAAGAGCGCCTTAATAATAAGCATTGTCAGTTATCCTATGATTTTGCCAATGCAGTGCGAAGCAAACAGTCCAGGAATCAAGTTAAAAACGTAGTATATGAACAAACACAAATCTGCGAATAATTAACGTACATACTCAATGTAGATATAATCAAGTACTTCGTTTGGTCATATGATTACATAGATTAGTTGTGTCTTTATGCACGAAGACATGTCAAAACAGATAGGATAGCATGTGGCATAAATACCCCGTGTTTATACACAAGGAAGGTAAATGTTTTCGATCGTAGTCGAATTATGGCAAAGCTTTCGTGGGGAATTCTAACAACAAACGGCTTGTCCTCACGGGATATCAGCATATGACAGTTACGATTGTTTTTACTGTTTCTTATCAGTGTTTTGTATAGATACAATATTCAACGTGTTACACACATACACAAACGCACCCTCTATACACAAAACTTGGGAACACACCCATAGACACAACCTGTTACAGGCAAAGTTGCACAATTATTCGTTGGTCGGAAAAACGAATAAGTTTCTTACTCCACTTTCCTGATGGAAAAGTAAAGTAGCACAGAGAAACGTTATTGACCTCTGTGGAAACACATTTACGTAAAAACTTTCACGAAATGGCATGGACACGGATTATCCAGCCATTAGGGCTTTACTCTCGATATTTATCAAAAATGATTATGTTCAAATTTTATCCCCATTGTCCTGTCTGTGAGTGAGCGCCAATATCAATCTTAATTAAACTCAATCAAAAGGATCTGTCTGGCACCCAATGTACCTGGAAAATTTCAAGAGTAAACAACCGACATGCCCTTCAGTTGAATTTGCATTTACATTTGGAGTTCACCCTGAATAGTAAAGTTTAAAAAAATATATGTATTCATATTGAATTAAAATAACTGTTCAGGAACAAAATATAGGCAACAGGTGGACTTGTTTTCAAAGAAAATCCAAAATCAAAGTTGTTGGTAAAATATCGTTTACCCAAACTTGCTGCTATGAACTATATGAGTAAACTAAACTGTCCGAGTAAAATTAGAATAGAAGCAGGTCACATACCACAAACATATTTGCCGCAGTAACTGTCGTCTGTTTGCATGGGTGAATCAGACTGATTGTCAATTGTGTAGAAATCATAAGCAATTCTGAGACGTTTTGAATTAGAAATGAAAATTATAAAAGTATTCTAAACTGCTGTTAGCGACATGTATGTTCCGAAAACGAGATGGTAAGTATGGGGCACCCTGATGAAAGCATTGTAAGTTTTATTCTCATACAGTACTTGGCATTGTATGCTTAGTTTTCAAATTATATATATTCAGTAGATAGCTAAATCCGATCACTCAAAAATACCACACAAAGTTATAAACACTCAATTCGGTAAATGTTTGTATTTATTACGAAAGTAAAATACTTCTTCATACGAACACATTGCTTTACAATACAAACGAATAATGAGTCGATAAAAACATTGTTCACGTGCACATTGTTCGGCAGTGGGCACAATATACTTAATGACGAAATCAACAACGATGAACTGGGAGTAAAAGTAAATTCAATGACGGGAGAGTTACTATATTTATGAACAATAAAGAGGAATTTTCGCTAACGTTTTGTCTACTAAAACAATGATTTTACTCGCTTTAGAAATTGATATATTTATGATCGAATTAATACCATTGCTTCATTATATAAGGTTCCTTTACATATATGATGCCATTGCCGTTCAATGTGTGCGGCCTTACTATACAGGCTGATTCACGTAATTAATATCATGTATTTTGTCTGAAAAAGTGCAGTGATCCTTGAACATGTGTGTTTCAAGAACGTTGACATGCGCACATCTCTTTCAAGTATTTATTTGATTTTGTGTTAACACTGAAGTACCATCGCAATGAGTGGAAGAGCGCTCTAAATTACAAGCATTGTCAGTCTTCCTATGATTTTGCCAATGCAGTGCGATGCATTATTAGCCTAGTTTTTAACTACATGTATATAAGCATTTGAAGGCTCAATGCGATCATTCTTACACAAAACATATTTTCAATACACGAAGTTGTGTATCGACCCTTTAAGTGTATATGTATATGTACCTTTGTGTACACTGTTCGGTAGTATGCTCTGTAGTCGTACTAGAACAAGTGTGAATCGCTTTAAAGTTTGACTAAATAGCACTTATTAATGTTATTTTAACATATATAGTGCGCCGTCAGGACGAAGACTGCAGCCTTTTAGGTATGAATTGACATATATCGTAATAGGTCAATTCATACCTAAACAGCCCGTACCACAGTAAGCTTTAACATAATTCGGTTTTTCACTAACATATTAACAGTCTCGTTTGATAATGTCTTGGAAACAATGGATCCTGCAGGACATTTTTGAAAAGACAGAAAAAAGAAAACAGTGTTTAGAGAGTAAAAACGCAATGGGTATTCGAACTATATATCCATTAAAATTAATGATTCGGGATTTATGTTATCCCCGAAGTCCAACAAACACTTTTTAACGTCTTTTCTTGATTACTAGTAATTTTACTATAATATTTAAAAAAATAGTTCCATTGCAAATAATTTAGTAATTCACTTTTCAATCGTATTGCTCCTTTTATACTATAAAACGCATTAATTGTCTAATTATCGGCCTATTTTGTTACAATATTGATACGTTATTAGAACGTGAAAATGGCTACGCAACATCGAACTGTCATTTTCTTCCGTAAATTATCGCGCTGCCTTAAAGTTGTTGGTATTTTTTTTAAAGCTATACATTTTCTGTTTATATGAAATGACTGCATCACATACGTATGGTTGACATCGTTAAAGCGACCCATTTTGATGACTTCATACATAATGAACGTGAGAGAACGCAGAACGAATTGTCGAGAACTTACCTATTATTGTATGATCCAAGGATCATTTTAAAGTTCATGAATGACGTCTCTGAGATATAGCAGGTTTGCAGGAATGGAAGATAGTGAAAGGGTTTAGGGAATTATATATATATACTAAGGTTAAACTGTTAGTATGATATAATTTGTCCAGTGACCATCTGGATTGGTTATAATTTGTTCTTACTTAGGGAAAAAAATATGATAAATCATTGAACGAAAATAAGATGCCGATGACATTATGACATATGCTCCTAGTTTGTAAAACTTAACAAGAAACAGAGCTTATAAGCTATGCCCAATACTACAGAAGTATATATATATATTTATGGGTAATAAGATTGTCACCTAAGATCATAGGTCTCTCTGATAATGAATTTTAATTTATTCGACAAATTATTCATGTTCACATGTCACACACAAAGCAACATCAAAGGGTATTATGTGGGGCACCATAAATATACTATTGTGTTAGAGTGTTACAGCAGATATTTTCATTATTACTCATTCAATGCCACTTAACTTTACTTTTTAACTAAGGAACTAAAATGTTAAAACGTCTAGCAGGCTTACTTTACTTCTCTGTCCCATATCCCAACTACACAAAGTCATGTAGTTAATTTTTCGCGGGATAACACGTGCAAATGAAATTATTTCATATTGATCAATATCATTTGATAGAAAGATATATGATCTATGGTTGACAGTATATTGAGCTTTGATACAATATCAGCTTTAGAGTAAATCAAAGGTTTGCCTCATTGATTGAGATCAATGATATAATTCACCATTGGCATTTGTTGGACCTATATCAATTTTGATCTTTGGATAGGTCGTTACTATTGACAAAATATATGACAACCAGGACTTTAATTATGTTCCGCCTGCTTTCAGCAAGCTCATAGGGTCAACGATGTAAATAGATGGCGAAAAGCAACCCCCATCTGTGTAGATATCTATTTTTACATGTACAACAATATCAAGAGCATGTTTTGAATATGAAATTTTAATTATATAAACCAAGACATTACCGGCAATATTTCGATAAAACTAAGAATTAATCGACTGAAGAGTTTGTTGTTATGTTTATCAAATTATTATTTTTGAAACAATTACAACACTCACCTAGAATTTCCTTAGTAACAGTGTGTTATGCTGTGAAATCGTCCATGTGTGTTTCTCAGGTTTTAACTACATACATTTTTTTTCAAGAACGACTGTTTCCTTCGTCAAGTAAAGAGTTTAAATGACCTTTGTCTCGACTTTAAACCGCTGAATACAACTCACTAAGTCACATTGTGCCGAATCAATAAAAACAGCTGTCAAAATTCAAAGAGCTATTTCGCTAAATAACACTATGATACTGCAAGCATTTAGTGGGGCGGGTAACATGTTTACACATTCCGGTCCTTAGTTGATGATAAAGTGGGGTCATAAAAACGATTCAGCTGATGGCTCCTTCGTCTCTGCTCATCGATTCCTCTCTCCTTCCTTACCCAGATGAGCATTTTGAATTACTCGAACTTCCAGTTGGCGTCCCTTTCTAGAACTGTCGAGTTATTCAAGTTTGTGATGTGGCTATGTGTGTTAGCATGGTCTGAAATAGCTGGTGTATGGTGTTGTTGACTTGCTGCTTCATGGCTTCAACGTCATTCTGATGTTTTTTAGGCGTGTTCTAAATTCCTGGCCAGTTTCCCCGATGTTTTTAACGTTGCAACTGTTACATGGATTTTGGTAAACCAGCCCTCTTTTGTCTTCCTTCGACCATTTGTCTTTCGGATGTACTGATAGTTGCTTGATGGTGTTGTGTGGACGCATGTGATGTGATGTTTGAGTATCACAATTGAAAGCGGTTAAGACACCTCTTTTATGTGTGGAATATGACCTGGCCAATGTACATGTCTTCCTGTCCAGTCACGACGTTTATGCATTTTTTAAGGAGAGTACGAACTACCCCGAACGTATGATGCAATGAATTAAAGTTGAGGTTCTGGTTTTGTTCCGTAAACCAGCAATTTGATGGAACTGTCAGTTCTATTTACGATAAGGGTATCCAAGAAAGGATGCTTTCTGTCTGCTTCCTCTTTTGATGTAATTTGTATGGAGCCTGTTACATTCAACGATTGTAGGTGAGTTGATATGTTGATAGGTTGTTTACATCGTTCTTTAATACTTCCAAGATAACGTCAACAGAGTATTACTATAGTTTAAGACGACACTCCATCGGAGCTGTTCTGATGGCTCTCTGCGCAAGATGCTCAATAAAGATACAAGATACCCGGCTCTACATTGCTGCCCCAAACTTGCTTGCTGGTAAATTGTGAGACCTGGAAAGAGAAGATAGTGATACTGAGTGTACATTCAAACAACTCAATGATGTTGTCAACGACAAAATATTTTTTTCTTTCATAGGGTTATATTTACATTGAACGTTTCACTTATGACAACCATTAAGTGAACGTGTTCCCGTCTCCCTGGCTGTCTGCAGTATTGGAGTGCTATTTATAGAAATTTTGACAGCTGTCCGTTTTGATTCGGCACACCAGAGTTGTTTTCAGCGGTTTAAAGTCAATACATTGGTCATTTACAATCATTGCTTAACAAAGGAAACAGACGATCATTATTCATACCAAACTAACAAATATTATTCCGAACGGGTCTCAACAGTTTTGAAATTATAACTTTAATATAACCCCCGGTTGAAGTATTGTTGAAGATGTAGATAAAAAACATCTTAATAATGCAAGCTTTGCCTACATTTATATGGTTTAAGTATTCTTCTGTTTTACAGATAAACTGCAACAAGTGTTGAAATGAATACTTAAATCGCTGTCTTCATCATGGATCAGAACAGAAAACGTAAGTATGGTTAAGTGTAATGGTTCTTACTTGTTCAAAAAATTCGAAAAACAATGTTAAACCACAAACAAACAAAAAACAAAAAACAAAAACAAAAATCCGATTTAAAAATGTATTTCAAGTTGACGAATGTTATGAGACAGTAAATACGATTAGGTATCAAATTTAAAAACAAAGACACATAATTAAGAAATGATTATTCTAAATAAAGTTTTTTGGGATTTTCCTGGAACAGCATGGTCGCAGTAAAGTATTATAGTGATTGTAGACGTCTTCCTGACCTGTCTGTTGTTATGTCGTAAAAACCAAAAGTTGATGACGTATTCTGTCAAATTACATTCAACTTTTTTAGGAATACATATCAGCGAAATTCATTGAGGTTTAAGCTAAAGCATATATACATCTTGATGCTTTATCAAGAGTTAATTCTAGCAAAATTTGACATTCATATCGCAAATAATACATCTGTTCTGAAGTGTTCCAACAAATCCTGACAATATTTTAATATAAACACAGGTTGTTATTTTTTGCACAATTGTGTTGAAAAATGACGAAATGTTCATTAACTTAGAAAACGGAGCATATGTTTGGTGCGTGTTTGGGTAAGATTAGTGAAAAAATATATATCAAAAAATTCAAAATAAACGTTAAAATAAAATTGGTTGTCATTTTTAACATCGGGGGAGGGGGGCATACATTCCGATGCACTCATATTAATTACGTCACTTGTAAACAACAAGCTGGCAGTATTTCAATCTGTGAACAATCTTTAAGTTTTATTACATTACTATTAATGGATCACCTTCGTAAGAAAATAACAATAACACACACGGCGTCAGAAATACATGGCTGTTGACTATTTTTGTAGTATACATTGAAAAACACCACACACATCAGCATTTAAGATTACAAGAATGAAAAACGTAATTCCAGCTTTGAAATACATATTTGTTGAGTTTGTTTTCAATGCCTTTTGATATGCAAGAATCGATCACCTATCTAAGTTAAACTGATAGTGCTTTCCTATGTATTTAATTGATCACAAAGCAATGGAGACAAGACGTAATGCACTTCAGGATTTATTGACATAGTGTTGTCTTTGTACAACAAGATGGTGTTGACCGCATATACCTACCTGAAATTGATATCAAGGCACTATATACTTGTCTATATCAGCCGCTAACCATAGTCGTTATTTACAACATAACTATATTGGATGGTCTAGTGTTGACCTGTTTGACAAGTATGTAAAAAAAAATGCCATTCAATAGTAACTGTCAACTATAATAACGATGTCCCTCTATACATGGACTTGTTAACAGACATGCTACTGACTAATAACAGTAAAATCCACATAATAAACGTTTCATAGAGGAATTCAGTTATATGCACATTTTTTTTGTCACATACATTTGCAATAGGTTTTTTTATAATAACGCGAAAAGTTTAATGTTTTTTCTAATGTTAATTGAATAACTGTATAACTTGAATAATGTGTGATTAACATATCTTCAGTGTATCTAATGTGCCTAACACATTTATTTTACCATTCCCCTACCTATATTCATTTTAAACTTTCAGTTGTGAGAGCATTTCACTTTGCTAACTTAAACAATGAAACTATTTTCAGAGACCATTATCTCGGATTCAAATGAGGAAGTTGTGCTTAAATTACTGCATTAAACTATGGCAATACCAATCGAAGCTTATGCAAATTGTCATCTATTATATACATTGTTGATGCGCCAATTCAACAAAGCGCTAGCTAAAAAATGAGTTTACTTAAATAATCTATGTTATGCTAGGTAGCTTAAAAAGGATATTTTTATTTACAGAAACAGACGGACCGACTGATTTGGTGGCTTTAGGAAAGGAACCAATAGAGAACCGTAAGTATATTTGAGTCGCATATATGATCATAAACTAGCTTATTCTAATGTGGGTTGTTTCAACAACTAGCAAAACAATTTTCTTTGATTCTGTTAGATTGAAACTGATTTATATATACATATTTGTGTTAAAACAATCATATTTTTTTGTTTTCACAGGTACGAACCCAGACGGAGGTAAGTCATACATAATAACGTTGTTGTTTATACTTTTGAGAGTTTCAATGATTGATAGAGTGTTGCATTACGTTATTTCTAGCAACATGGGTTAGTTCTGCAATTTGCTGGATCACTTGACTACATGATACATTAGATGGTATTGTATAAGGATTATATGTAAGGTAACTGTACCACTTTATGTGAATGTGGAGTAAATTTCAAGCGTATCCTCATTCTGAATATATCCTATTCCCAGCCAATGGTAATTGAAATTACATGGAAAACAGCGCTATACTAAATCTTCAAAGTAAAGAACTTCGTTTTGTTTTTGTCATGCAGTCGCAAACAATTTGCCATTCACAAGCCAGTTTGAACTTCCATTACATGTTGAAAAGAATATCTAATTGATAAGTTAATCAATTTTAGGGAGTGGAACGAAAAAAGCAATAAAGGTATTCATGAATATTCCAAGTTTAACAAAAAGGGTAACTTTATAGGCCACTTCTTTCTACCACATTTGCCGAAGTGTTTTTGTATATGGCTTTATTTGTATTTAAATATTCAGAGGAAGACAAGAGTTGCATTTGTTTTAAGGCGCAACATTTCTCCCGTCGTGGTAAGTACCCTGTAATCTTATATTATATGGTATGGTCTATGTTATTGTAGTAAATAATTTGCCAACACTAAAAATGATCATTCATTTGCCAGTTAGATAATGTGTTCATTGTACAGAAATGTCTCTGGACGATAAACGATTATGATATGTACAGTAGTCGTAATATTCACGTTGTGGTTATTATCTTTTGAATATATGAGTGTGTGCAAAGTTTACAATAATAAACTGTTGTATGTTCAGAGCGGGAAATCTTCAAAAAGCAGGCAACATCATTGAAATAATGTGTATATATTGCCAAGAGATAAACACACTCATCTATCATCTTTATTATTGTTAATAACTGATTCCAGCTCCGTCGGGATACAAAGAAAGTAAAGTGTATGATTAGAGGGAATCAATGACCAATATTTATTTATTTTTTTAATCATTCCAAACAGTTGCTAATCCTGCAAGAATTACACAGGTACACAGCTGTATGCGTAATGTGATTTCGATAAGGATCAAATATAATTGCAGTACTATTAATAACAAAAACATCTATGGTCTTCTATATCTAATTTGATATTTTAGAAATGAACCATAGAGTGTTTCAAGCCAGGCAGAGCATACAGAGTTTTTTTGTTTTTATAAATCTGGACATTTTTCAACCTTTCTATTATAAGCTTCCTTGGTCTTGTCAAAATTCATATGGTTCCGACTTTGAAGGGGACTATATACAATAGGACATTATTGTTGATTTATTTATGTGAATAAACGAATAACAAATTATTTGAAAGAAATTTTTTAATCAAGATTACAATCAAATGAATTCCAATTACATTGAAACTTTTATTCTTTGTGCACTATTTAAACTACAGAAATATTTGGGGTGCTATTAGAATTGTTGCGGGCCATGGAGACTGGCTGTGAGGTGGCCTAATAACTTTCTATTAGAGACAGAAAATGTATTATTAAACAATCCACGCATTTGACTAAACAAATCGCAAGAATTCACACGTTCGACTTCAGTCTTTCTTATATATGCCAATGTTTTGTTGAGAAAATTTCCGATAACAAAATTAAGAGTTTCTCAAAGGTAGACATTACATCCATTTGTCAGCCTCTCGTATTGAGAGTGATTTCAGTATGATGAGCAATATCGGTTAAGAAAGGCCATAAATCCCAACTAGTCCTTTGGCATTATCGATACTGAAATACGGCTGTTGTACAATTCACCTATTCAAGTAACTCCCCAGTATCTGAGCAGCGTTAACTCCAAAAATTCAAAACAATTCAGAAGTTTCTTTACAGGACTATACATTAAAATAAATAAGGTAATGTAATAATAATTGATTAAAATTAGTTTTTTTAATTCAATTGATAGGTCATAGCTGAACTCGTTATGCTGATAATTTATCTAGCACAAAGCTGGCTCATGAAATACTCAGAAATAAAAAAACAAAGCTGAGGCGGGGCGTATAACATGCCCATTTCTTTCCCCGCCTCTACCATCATTTACAAATATCAAGGTTTGTCCCAAAAAAGATAGATACTATAGGGTTATATGTTGCTGTGCCTTGCTATTTACTATTACGTTTTTCTATCAGTGCACTGTGCTGTATATTTGTGCACAACTCGAGGGATGTTCTGGTCTTCGTTACGCGGGACCTCTATAATCGCAGTACGCTTAGAGTTATCGCCCTTGCGAACTTTCGTTTTCCTGCTGTTCACAGGCATGGTTCTTCTCAGGAAGATTTCTACTAATATTTCGTTACATGATATTGTGTGCTACTGCAACCAAAGATTGTTTAGCCTCTCTGGAGGATTGGCGCCATTAAAGATTAAAAACCAACACCTCTTTTTGAGTAAAATCTCTTTGATTATGATTTTCCGATTATCATAAACAGTTGACCAAACAACAACACGCCAGTCGTCATGAATACCACGTCAAGGTTAGCCATGAACCCATAATAAAGAAAGTTCGAAATATAACGCCTAATGCAGAAGAACTTTATAAAACAAGAGGCCCAATGGACCTGCATCGCTCACCTGGTATAAGTTTTCACACTTGTGATCTTAAAAGTCGACTAAAATACAGCGCCAGGCAGCATATCAGTGATTGATTCATAAGAACCTTTTAACAGATTTAAACATATGACGCCTGTGACCATGAATGTCGAACAAGAACATTAGGTTGAACATAGGTCAAAGTCATTATTTTTGAACACACTTGGTATCCCTTCATCCCAGCATGCTACAGGCCCAATATCAGTACCCTTGGCCTTTTGGTTATTGAGGAGAGGTCGTTTGAAGATTTTAAGACATTTGACCCCTGTCACCTTGAAAGTTAGTCAAGGTCATTGATTTGTACAAACTTGGTGGCCCTTTATTCCAGCATGCTACAGGCCCAATGTCAGTACTCTGGGTCGGACGACGGACGACGGACGGACGACGGATGCCGCATCACGCAATAAGCTCTCCGGGCCAGGTGAGCTAAAAACAGTAGTGTCCTACACTAACAACTCTCACTGATAAATCAACAAATATATTAATGTGTGAGACACGACATTCAGGAGGAATACGACACAGATAGTATGATATGTTAAACTCTATATCTACATACAGTCCGATTCCCCCTCAGGTTTGGTTTAGTTTGGTTTAATATTGTTTAACGTCGTATCAACAGCTATGGTCATTTAAGGACGGCCTCCCCTGTTTGCAAGGTGCATGCGTGTATTGTATGCGTGTGTTGGTGATGTCACAGTCACTTTCTGCGGTGTGACCCTCATGGCCACAATACTGGCAGACCGTTTTCTGTCTTCATTGCTTTTCGTGATGACCGTACTTCTGACAGTTTCGGCATCGCATTGGATTTGGGATGTAGACGGAAAAGTTGTACTTCTGGGGTCCGATTGTTAGAGTTTGGTGTAGTGTTGGTGATAAAAATGTGATGATGAAGGTGGTTGATCGTATGGTGTCTTTGTCCTTTCTGGTCAACGTCCGTCTCACCTCGGAGACCGGGACGCTTTCCTCCTGGAAATATGCCAGTATGCCTCCGTGTGGAGGACATCAAAAGGACTTACAAAATGCTTGCAAAATCTGATTAAAAATCAGCCTTTTGATTACTACCTATATTTCCTTGCTGTGATTTGTATCTATAATGCATATCATTGGATGGCTATTATAACTTTGACAAATATAAAGGCATCTATAAGTTGTGCCATGTTTAAAAAACGGTCCACCTTTTTGAATTTATCTGATAATAAAGGAGACAGGTAACCAAAACACACTTCATTATTTAAATGATTTCCTGGAACACATTAGTGCCAAGCCTCCCACAATAATGTTGTACATATCTCTCCTGACAATGAAGTTTACTTTTAGCCCACCATCATGTTCAAATAACCCTGCGTCCGTGGTCCGTGGTCCACCGTCCGTCGTCTGTCCTTAAACAATTCTTGTTATCGGTATTTCTCAAGAAGTACCAGAGGGATCTTTCTCAAATTGTATTTGTAGCTTTCCCTTGGTCTCTAGCTGTGCAGGGCAACTTTTGAGACTGACCGGATTACAACATGGCCGACAGGCAGCCATCTTGGATTTTGATAGTAAAAGTTTGTTATCGCTATTTCTCGGGAAGTAAGGGAGGGATCGTTTTCAAATTTATATGTAGGTTCCCTTTGTTCCCTTGTTGTGCAGCAGTGCCTGAAATGGACGGTCTATCTCTTGGTGTTAAAAGTCTTGCTCGGGCGACCAAAAGTTGTCAAAAGTGAAGTAGTCACTGGCCCAATAAAAATAGTTAAGGCTGTTGAAAAAAATTAAAAATAAAAGAAATTATAGTCCCTTCCACATTAACTGGGGGGGGGGGGGGGGGGGGGGCAGTACATTTTTCAGTTGTCATTACTTCGATTTGAATCGCACTGTCCGTGATTTAGAAAATGTAGTGGGTTTTTTTTCAGATTTTCTATATAAATACTACCAGGGTGTCTTCTTTGAAGTGCACGTTTTGTGTATTTCTTTTTGGGAAGACCTGTATGGAGTGGATCATGTCAGGTTTTAACTAGGGTTAGATAATTAAAAATATAATGTTTAATTCTGTTTTACATATAACAAACATTGTCATGTTAAATGTAATCAAAATGTGTGGAAGCATTGTGTTAAGTGCTGTGGAAATATTTCTTGCCAAAATGATTTGGGCCACCGATATGTCATTTGGGCCAGTGCTTCAAATTCTTTACTCGCCCCAAAATTTGTTTTTGGGCCAGCCAATGCAGGTTCCCTTTATTATTCATGTTTACTTTTGAAACTGATCAGTTAAACAAAATTGCCTACCGATAGCCATCTTCGATTTTTGACATTGAAGGTTTGTTAGTACTATTTCTCAGGAATAACTTGAGGCATCTTTCTCACATTTGATATGTAGGTTGCCTTTGATCCCCCGTTTTCCATGTTATATTTTGAGACTGATCATAAACACAAAATGGCTAAAGGAAGAACTAAACAGATCTTTCTCATATTGCAATAATCCATTATATTTCTTTCACATTAAATATTGTACTAGTAAATATGTGAAATGACAAACTCACTTTGAAGGTTGGCTTTCATACACATCAGTATTAGCTTTAGATCAAAAGTGACCTAAGGGTGCATTTACTGTTAACATGACTCGATCAAACAGATAAGAGGAAAGAATGAAAGATCGAACTGACAAAGAACTAATGAAGATGGTACAATGGTTGGCGCCAAGATCCCTATGGGATCTCTTGTAATATAAACACAAGTCAAAATATCAATTAGATTTATAATAATAGACTTGCGACTCTTTATGTGTTTAGCACAATTGGTGTCAAAGGAATGACGAAATCTACATTGCACAAAGAAAAGCATGCTCATGGTAAAGTAAAATGAAACGTAAAAGTAAGTTAAGAAACATCAGAAGGAAGGGGAGAGGGTACACTTACGTCACTAGTGAATACGCTAGCTGTATTTTAACGAGACTGTCAGGGAAAACCGTCAAGTTTTTTACATTAATATTAATGGATCACCTTTTTTTTATGAAACCAAAACCAATAACACACACGGCGACAGCAATACATGACCGTTTACTATTTTGAAGTATACTTTGTGATACACAACAAACATTAGAATTAACGATAATGAGAATGAAAACAACAGAATTTCAACTTGGAAATATTCTTTTGTTCGTGTTCAGTGCTTACAATAAGAGTTTTGGTATGCTGAATACGACAATTGTCTTGGTATAACTGTTTTGCTCTCCTATGAGTTCAAATGATCAAGGAGCAATCCCACCAAGAAGCAAAGACCTTGACAAATAATTCAGATTCACTTCTTGATCTATCGCCAACGTGTTGTCTTTACACAACAAGATATAATACTGACTTCTAACAGTAGATATCAACATAATAAAAGTTTTCACAAGTGGAATTCAGTTATGCAGATTTTTCCTCACGTATATTTGCAATAGGTTTTCACAATAACGCGAAATGTTTTTTTTAGTGTTTATTGAATAACTGTATTACTTGAATAATGTGTGATTAACATATCTTCAGTGTATCTAATGTGCCTAAAACATTTATTTTACCATTCCCCTACCTATATGCATTTAAAACTTTCAGTTGTGAGAGCATTTGACTCTGCTAACGTAAACAATGAAAATGATCTCAAATAACATTTCGCAGGTTTTTTCCACCTTAATTATGGTAATAAATTAAGACAGCATCAACCGAATCTTCTGTAAATTGTCATTCATTGCATACATTGTCTAAGCGTAAATTCAACAGAACGCTAATTTGTCAATAAACGAATATGCGCTAAAATTAAGTGCGGTTACTAAAATCTCGTTTTGCTAGGTAGCTTATCAACTTATATTATCATTTACAGGAACAGACCGACTTGCTGATTCGGTGGCTGTAAACAAAGAACCAATAAAGAATCGTAAGTATTTTTAGTATGATATAACAAAATAATCATTATATCCTCATTTTAATTTGCTAGTTTTAACAACTTAAAACACATTGTTAGTTGGTTCCTGTAAATTTAGCTGATTGTACAGATAAAGTGTCTATATATGCTAATTTACTTCGACTATTCTATCGTTACCAACGTAAGTGAGCGGTGTCTTGTCGTTTTTTTGTCGTTACTTTTATTTTTATTTTTTACTTTTACTTAGCATTTCCGTTCCGTTTGCGTAGCACTTGTGTAGCACTTGCGTATCACTTGCGTAGCATTTCCGTAGCACTTCCGTACCATTACCGTAGCATTTCCGTAGCACTTCCGTACCATTACCGTAGCATTTCCGTAGCACTTGCGTAGCGTTTCCGTAGCACTTCCGTATCGTTTCCGTAGCACTTGCGTCTACATCTTTCTATTTAAAAAGCATTTGTGAAACGTTCGGTTGAAAATTTTACGGAATATATATTTGTCGAAACGAATTAAAAAAAAACATCACCATTATAAACCGCATTACGTGAAAATTATTCCAACCATCATAATAGTCTGAAGGAAAAAAACCCACAAAAATGACGGTTTACACATACATGGACGTAACAGCCCTCCTTCCATGGGCCTACACTGTGTGTTCCCCACACCAGCAGCTAGGCTTTAGGGGTAATTTAAATAACAGGCATGTGGTAATGACCTGTCCCTTGTTTAAGGTATAAACAATTTTAGTGTCCGTTATAAAAGTTGTTAGGGCAACATGACTACCCGCTGACAGATACATTTTGTTCAATATGATATATATATATACCTGAGAATCTAGGCAGTGATAATGCATTGACCATTCACCTGAGGTCACATTGGATTTTATGTGCTGTACCTGATCAAGGTCACATTCTGTGATTTCAAGTCAATTAAGTCCATGTCAATTAATCCAGTTCATTGTCTATCCATCACGTACCGCTGTATACAGGTAAATCAGTTCAAGGTAAAAACCTACAGGTAAGATACTTTGGCTGTCCCTCAATCAGGAAATAACAGCCCCAGGCACAATTTCATTTCACAACAGAGCCTTAACCAAGGTAAACTAATATTTGGAACTTGGAATTCCTAATTTAATTATAATAAAAAGAAAGTCCCTTATGAGGATATTTACCTTCTCACGTAGATGATTTGTTTTAAAACTAATCTATTTTTTTTTAAATGATTTATCATGAGTTCTGTTATCAGCGAGCGAAGTCGAATACTTTCCCCTCATACGTAACAAACTGTTCATATCAGATTATTGAAAATGATGATATCTTTCAGTAATCATTAAAACAAATCATTATGAAGATAACTTTATAGAAATAGAGAGTGATTCCTTGTTGTCTATAGCAGAGACGTTTATATTACAATACGTCTCTGTTTATAGTAAGTTTGTTAACGGAGTGCCCTATCTGTGTGTGGAAATCATAAAGGTGTCAAAAATCAGTCAAGTGATTCCGGGCTGGTGTACCTATGAACTAACATGGTTCAATCAAAAAGATAATTGACCTTTTACAGCTGACCAATTAGTACTACTTAGCGCCTTTAGCTAGTTACACAGTGGACAGTATATATCAAAGGCTGGGATTATCGACAACATGATTTACTAATTAATTAAAGAAAGGTTTATTGACAAATAGAAATTGAAAATTGAACCTAATAATTATAAATAGGTATAGTTGCACTTGTAATTGTATTGTGAGTGTGTAATGTTGTGTTAAGCTATTTTGTATTTTGCACAGTTAATATCACAAATTTTGTTACTTTGTAACTGGTGAGTCGAACGACTCAAAGTAATAAAGAACTTGAACTTGAACCAGGCGATAGATACGTACATGCATGACAAAATATGAAATATTGTAGCACTTACGCTTACATGTATTGAGCACAGACAAACAAAATATTATGTAGTTTTGCCACTCATCTATTGTGGTGTTGTCTATAGTCTATAACGGTCAGAGACGTATACTTTAACATTTTCACGTGATTTTGTGTGCAGAATTATTCCCCATCACCAGTTTCACGAAAAATTCCTTAACTATAGAGACAAGTTAACTTGAAATTACAGGAAAATGTCATCATCTTCCCTCNCCCCCCCCAGTGAAAAATGTTATAAATGAGTTATAAATGTATCTATTAAATACCACACCCTTTTACTTTGCTCTACTCTACCATGACTTGTTGCCCCTGGACCCTGATCAGGAAGCTATCACCCTAAGCCCACACCCTCCTTGATCCACGCCTGTTTAGGTACATACGTACAAACGGAGAAATACATATTGTAGATATATTGAAGTTTGACATGGTCTCAGTCCCTAAGTTATCTGACATCAGACCCCTATACCCTCTGTAGTAGACACCCCTCAGGGTGTGCCATACAGTCATAGTTTCACCTGTACCAAGATTCAGACAGGTACGATTTACCTGTGGAAAAGTCAGTATAGATACCTACATTTTTATGATCGATAAAGAAAACCTACATTCTTAATAATACTAGAGGTACATATAATGAATGTAAAAATTACATATAGTTAGTACATATTATTTTCCTTATTCATAATAGTTTCCTACACGCACGTGCTTGCCTTTCAAATTGAAAAAATATATATAATAAACTCCCGTAACAATATACACGTACAATGTATACTTAAACAAGAATCAAATACATTTTCTGAATAAAATAAAAGATGTATAACAAAAAAAACACTTTTTACCTGTGAATGAAATTTAATTAATAGACATGTTACAACATGTATACGTTTTAAATCTCCGATGCATGTATTTGAATGTACTAATAAGTAAGCACATTATCGATCTCCAAATCATACGGAAAATCTAAAAGTGTATGGAAGTATTAAAGACGAGATCAAAAATAGAAATAGAGATACTGGATCCTTAAGACAGGAGTCTGAAATTATATCATTTTTAATTATTATTAGGCTTATTAATTATTACGTTTCTCGTATAAAAAAAAACGTAACAAGTGTACTTACTGTCAATATTAATTATTATTTTATTCGGTAAGCAGGTGGAAATACGTCTGATCATAGCTTATTATTATCTGTGTGTCGCGTTGATCTGTGAGCGTACGTCAGGATTTGTGATGGATATAGTACATGCTCGTAGCCTACAGTGTACTGACGTTTATTCCTATGCAATGTGGGTATGTTCGTTTCGTTTTAGATATTTTATATGCTTCTGCTTTTTATGTAAACCGGTTGTTGTCATCACGAACGAACCACCGTTTGTAAGCGTCATCCGTAGCACTTCCGTACCGTTTGCGTAACACTTCCGTACTGTTTGCGTAGCACTTGCGTACCATTTCCGTACCGTTTGCGTAGCACTTCCGTACCGTTTGCGTCCAAGGAGGAACAGCGAACGTGTACGGGTCTGAAATAGTTGAAAGAGGTCGGCTGTCGCGTCAGCGCGTATACCCTGCAGTGTGACATTCGTATGTGGGTCGTCACGGGAGGATGCACCAGTGTCACGAATGGTCGCACTGGTACCATTGTCGGTATTCGATTCATTGATACTTATAGGTATCGTTTAGCTGGCATTGTACATTGCTTGGTTCAACTCACTGTCTACATGCACCCTGTCTTTATATCGATAAACAGATTTTATATCCTCGAGGTACATGTAATCTTCTATATAGTGGTCGGTAAATCCCATAAATGTCATACAACAGTTTCTCTGTTGCTGAGGTTAGTCCAGCGACAAGTGTACCGTGTTATGTTTGACTTTGTTCTACTTTAGCGACATCGTATGATAATTGTCTCAAATGAAACAGCACGTCAGCATCATCTTTGTATGTATTACGCAATTTCGTTTGGAAAACATTTCTATCACAAGTTCTAATTTTTTTATAAAGGTGCGTGTAAATGCTGACTTCATGCGATTTTCAAATCTCCTTACTCAACGTAACGCTAGTATCAATACCGCCGGAAGCCGTGCTAGAAAAGTCAACATGTAGGCATATGTAGACTTGTGTGAAACAAAAATGTTAACTAAACGCTTTACAGTCACCATTGTCATATCTTCTGGCAAGTACGGTATATCGGGCATAGCATAGGCATCATTTATAACAGTCCTTGGGGATATCGGCACATTTGGTAAGGTACTATTATGATAATCTCTAAACGATTCTTCTCCGGGTCTTTTAACAACGCCATTCAGTAGGGGCGTTTACCGATATTTGCTATTAAACTTATCAAGGAACTTCGTTTGCCAGCGCACACACTAAAAAAAACAACACGTATAAAACTCAACTCATATCATGAACGAAGTATGGACCTGCTTACAAAACAAAATCCTTCAAACAACATAGGCACCAAAACACATTGGCCACTCTGTGAGGGTCTATTGAACCCTAGGTATCTATTCTTAAAATATTTACCAAAATATCTGTAGATATGCTGGTGTTGAAAAACAATAACAACTATATGTTCAGCTTGTATTTATTCTTCCATCAAGTTTTTTTTGTAGATTAATCTTTTTTTTTCCAATTTTTACAATTGCAGCATATATATCTGCGATCGGACGACTACTAAAAGGTAAGAAGATAAACTATTTATATGCTGAAAAATAGTCAATTATCTGTTAGATAGTGCGCCCAAGATGGTAGAATATTGGTCGGAGCTGATGCGTGCCGAGCTTTCGAGTACTGATATCTACATGTAAGGGTAGCCCCTGAGCCACATAATGGATGATAATTCGGAAGATATCGTTATCATTTAATATATACTGTTCATATTAAAACTATTCTGTATAAAGTATGGACCTGCTTGCAAATCGAAAAACCTTAACACAACATAGACACAAATTAGGGATGATACAACCTATGAGGGTCTATGTATTCCTTGGAATGTATTCTAAATATTTTATCAAAACTATCTGTAGATGGGCTTATGTGTCGCAATATACAATCAACTATGTGTGTAGCTTGTATTTAATCTTCCACGAAGTTTTTTCAAGCTAAAACCTCATTTAGTTTTCAATTTTATATTTGCAGCTGCCAGCCTTAATTTTGAATTACCGTGTTAGTATATATAGTATTTATATGCTACACATTATAGTCTATAGCATATGGTAATAGAAAGAGCGCCAACGATGATAGAATATTGGTCAAAATATCAAGAAACTATATTTGAAAAAATAAATTGGTACCCTTTGGAGCGATTTAACCCTAGGAATGTATTCAAAATATTTATCAGAATATCGATAGATGTGCTTATGATGCAATACAATATCAGTTATAGACAGACAGACACTTTATTTCCTCTTTACAGAGATTCATCATATGTCATACAAACATGCATGTGGTCATGACAGAAATGAACGCATATATGGACAAAAATATAGTTAAGTAAATGAATTTGTATAAACATGTGTACACTTTAAAGATTAAATAAGGAAAGTAGGACAATTTGCATCCTTCAATAGAAAATTCATTTGAAATATTATTATTTCTTCATTTCTAATTGCATAAGTATTTCTGTAAATACTAACGGATATATATATATATACATTTTACTAGAAATTCTAAATCCTAAACAAATAGTACTCTCTGCCTTAAGACCATAATTATGTATTTCTATTGCTGTGATATCGCTATGGCGGGGACGTATATAGCGGAGGTCGCTATAACGAACTACTATGTGACGTCATTGTTTATGACGTCACAACATCTACTACAAATAAACAGTCTAAGGAATCTCCTAGAAGATATGAAAGTACTTAAGACTCGTTGTTGAGAATTATTCTTTTTACATTATTTCTTCGTCCGTAAATATCTATGTAAGTATATATAGTATTTATATGCTACAGATTATAGTATATAACATGTTGTTCGGACAGAGAGCCAAAGATGATAGAATATTGGTCAGAATTAATGTGTACCGAGTTTAAAGCACTGATATCTGCATGTAAGGGTAGCCCCCTTAGCCGCATTATGAATGACCATGGTAGCAGTGTACAGTAGAAATGGCTTGAACCTAAAAATAAAGGACATGTCTCAGATAAACAAGACTGATTTTTTTTTTTTTTTCAAAAACTATTTTCCCCAGGTTTTGGACTTGTGAAAACCATGGCTACCACATCAAAAACACCAAAATATACAAAATAACATGATTTCCAACCCAAAATTTGACCCCGCATGTAGTTATGTTTTTCTTAAAACCAGTCTGAAATTATATACCGCCTACTCGGTAACAGCAATACTCATGTTTAAGCATAGGTCATTCCGGTGAATTTTTCACAATATATACACATGTGCTGAGTACAAAAATTAGACTACATGAAAAGCTAGGTTTTTTTTGTGTAGACAAAGATTCGTAAATGCCATAAACTGTAGTCGCAAACCAAATTCGTTTTTTTTTTTAATTCTGAAGCCCACATAGTCCACTTCATCATGTATATGCCAATTTTAGTGCTGATTTTTTTAAATGTTGATACATGTCATATTACAGGGGTTATTCATTGTATAAAAATATCACCAATGGCCATCGTACACGGGTTCGCTACTGTACACTGCTATATGAGCAAAAATGCAATTAAGTAAATAAGCATGTATACACATGTGTACACATTAAAGATTAAATAAGAAAAAAATAGGACAATTTGCATCCTAGAAAATTCATTTGAAATAATATTATTTCTTCCTATCTAATTGCATTAGTATTTCTGTAAATACATACTGATGTATGTATATATATATATACTTATTGACTTGCACTGCTATTGTTACAACGTATGAATACTTATATTAGTTCAGTTATCAATAATGAACGAAATGTATATTTTAGTTGAGTTTTAGCTTTGAACACACGCTTATACTGTAAAATTATCAGATACATAGATGTATTCAAAATGTGTATTACATTGAGCAGTTATTTTCCACCACCATTGCAATATACAATCAACTATATGTACAACATGTATTCATTCTTCCATGAAGTTTTGCTCAAACTGATACCATTTAGTTTTCAATTTTACATTTGCAGATGACAAATTCAAGTTGAAATCAACATCATATCAGTGTAAGTATATATAGTATTTATATGCTAAAATTGTAGTCTATAACATGTTGTTATGGAAAGGGCGCCAAAGATGATAGAATATTGGTCAGAATTAATGTGAACTTAACGGTCACCTGATATATTTATACAGAGAGTTGATTTTGTTTTTAACATGAACAGAAAAATTATTCAAAGTGACAAATCAATAAAACCACCTTATTCAATATCTAGCATACATATTTCAGGCTAAAAAGTATTTGAAACTAGCACCTCTGATTCTAAACAAGGAAAATGAAGAAATTTTAGCAAACTGACTCCTTTGAACCCCACGCTACAGCCCTTGGGGGTAGGGCTGGCTCAAAATTTTCAAAGTATCAAACTGTCAACTCAAGGTTATAATTCCAATCAAGTTATTAACATGTAATATTCAAAGTATCATTTGCCATTATAAACCATAATGAATTGTGCCCCCCCCCCTCCTTCCCCAGGGGGTAAATGTGAGGCCCTAGGGTCATAACCCTTAAGACCCTTCCATCTATGAAGAGTATTTGATTCTACCATATCTGGGTCTTCAGTAGAAGATTTTTAAAATTTCAGTAAATTCGACCCTTTCTGGCCCCACCCATCAGCCCCTGGGGGTCAGTCAGGGCTCATATGTGCTTATTATCAAACTGCTACCTAAAACTGATAATGCTAACCCAAATTGAATTACTTCCAATGGAAATAAAACAAATGTTGGTCCAAAATGTGATTTCCCAATATAAACTATAGTAAATTTTACCCCCTCCCCAGGGGGAAACATGAGACCCCAGGGTCAAGAAATTCACAATTTTGGTAAAGCCATATCTGGGTCTTGCGAAGAAGATTTTTGAAATTTCAGTCAATTCAACTCTTTTTGGCCCCATCCATCAGCCCCTTGGGTCAGTCAGGGCTCATATATATGTGCGTACTGTCAAACTGCTACCTAATACTGTTAATGCTAACCCAAATTGAATTACTTCCAACGGAAATTAAACAAATGTTGGTCCATAATGTGATTCCCCTATATAAACTCTGGTAAAGTTTACCCCCTCCCAAGGGGGAATCGTGAGACCCCAGGGTCAAGAAATTCATAATTTTGGTAAAGCACCATAAGACCCTTCCATCTATAAAGAGTATTTTATTCTACCACATCTGGGTCTTGAGAAGAAGATTTTTGAAATTTTAGTCAATTAGACCCTTTTTGGCCTCGCCCCTCAGGCCCCCTGGGGGCTCGGGACTAAACCGGCAACAATTTTTGTTGACCTTTGTCCATGGAAGGTCCCTGCAAAATTTCATTGAAATTGGTTCAGGGGTTTTGGAGAAGAAGATTTTTGAAATTTTAGTCAATTTGACCCTTTTTGGCCCCGCCCCTCAGGCCCCTGGGGGCTTGGGACTAAACCGGCAATAAGTTTTGTTGACATTTGTCCATGGAAGGTCCCTGCAAAATTTCATTGAAATTGGTTCAAGGGTTTTGGAGAAAAAGTCGAAAATGTAAATTGTTTACGGACGCACGACGGAAGACGGACGACGACGGACAAAAGGCGATCGTAATAGGTCACTTGAGACTTTGTCTCAGGTGACGTAAAAACTGATATCTGCATGTTAGGATAGCCCCCTTAGCCGCATTATGAATGATGTATTTTTTCTAACATTCTTCAGGGGACTCGGAAATTATCGGTATAATTGTATTACACAATGTTTCTATCTAACTTATTAAGAAACCATATTTGCAAAAAAATAATTGGTATCCCATAGGGTGATTTAACCCTAGGAATGTATTCAAAATATTTATCAGAATATCGATAGATGTGCTTATGTCGCAATATAATATCAGTGATAGACAGACAGTTACTTCATTTCCTCCTAACAGAGATTCATCATATGTCATACATACATGTGGTAATGAAAGAAATGAACGAATACATGAGCAAAAATGCATTTAAGTAAATAAACGTGTATACACATGTGTACACATTAAAGAATAACTTAGAAAAATAGGACAATTTGCATCCTTCAATAGAAAATTAATTTGAAATAATATTAATCCTTCATATCTAATTGCATTAGTTTTTCTGTAAATACGTGCTGATATATAGTGATAATGCCATGAACTACTGATCAAGCTTGGTTAGATTAACTATATTCCTTCCGTGAAATTTCCAACTTTGATACCACCTTAAGATAACTTTATATACAGCTCACCCCCTCCCAAACCACCAACCTCCCAATCTCATTCACCATACAACTGAATTATCACAACACTGAAGACGGTTCTTGATACTAATGGGACAGATAGTTACTAAAGCTTTCATAAATATCTGAGGCTAAGCGTAAAAAATGGGTTATTTAGCTAAATATATATATATAATTATTGACTTGCACTGCTATTGTTGAAACATATGAATACTTTAATTCAGTTATCAATACTGAAAAAAAATGTATATTTTAGTTGAGTTTTAGCATTGAACACACGCTTATATTGTAAAAAATATCAGATACATGAATGTATTCAAAACGTTTATTACATTGAGCAGTTATTTTCCACCACCATTGCAATATACAATCAACTATATGTATAGCATGTATTTATTCTTCCATGAAGTTTTGCTCAAACTAATACCTCATTTAGTTTTCAATATTACATTTGCAGTGTTCAAGCTTATGATTGAATTATCATTACTATGTAAGTATATATAGTATTTATATGCTACAGATTATAGTCTATAACATGTTGGTATGGACAGAGTGCAAAATATGATAGAATATTGGTCAGAATTAATGTGTCCGAGTTTTAAAGCACTGATATCTACATGTAAGGGTAGCCCCTTAGCCGCATTATGCTTGGTTGTTTATTCTTCTACCACTATCAAGACTAGGAAAGTATCGGTATGATTTTACTATATGATGTTTTCATTTAACATATCAAGGAACTATATTTGCCTCCGCACAAACCAAATGGCAGCACTTATAAGGCTAAACTCATACCATGCATAAAGTATGGACCTGGTAGAAACCAGAAACCATGAAACAACAGATAAACTAAAAGTTGATGAATCATCCTGCCGGTGGCCTAATTAAACCTTGAAATATATTCAAAATATTGATCAGATAAAAGTGCTTGTATATCAGTATGAAAACACCGATGTGTGTAGCTTGCATTTACTATTCTGTACAAAGTTTGATTAAATTAACACCTAATTTTGTTTTCAATTTTAACTTCGCAGCTGCAAAATGCAAGATTGAAATACAACTATCTAAGCGTAAGTAAATAAATAAAAAATATGCTAAAATTCATTGTATATAAAAAATTGGTAAGGCATGTTCGACAAGCGTTTGTTGAACTTATTGGCCAACAACTATCTATTTGACACTTACATTTTCACACAAAACAAGCACGTATTCATAAGATATAAGAACAACACTTTTTAGTGTATTCATATGCAATTCATCTTTAAAGTTGGTTCCTTTTTCTTTCTCTGTTCAAGATTTGTTTTCCTCTTAAACAAAATTAAACAAGAAACATGTAAGGTTTTGTCTGAAGAAGGTTTAAAGGGGAGGGGGTCGTGATTGGGTAACTGGATAATTGCATGTTATGGACAGTCAGATGATTTTTAGGGGGTGGACTTGTTAACTTTAATAGTGTATAAGGGAAGAAAAAGACATTTTTATCTCAACTAGAGGTTTGCAATCAGTTCATTTTTTACGTATGTTTATATAAGTTCTGCACAGTGGAGTGATATTTATATATGCTGATATACGGCTTCAACAAAGTGAGGAATGGCTGACCCAATATGGTACCTTTTTTTGTAATAATCAACAACAATTACATTTCCTATTACCTTAATAAAGGTTAATTGATATTGATACTATATTTCTATATATAGGAAATTATATTCTAGGAACCTTTTAACGACTGTCTTTTTTGTTTTGCATTAACGAAATTTTCGTTTTGCATTATAGAAATTCATTTTCAAATATTCGTATTCTGAGACTTGTATAAACTGCAAATCAGATTTGATCTTACATCGAGAAATTATATTTCAAATATTATCTTTTCGAAAAACTGCATCAGCGTAATATGAAACTACAGACCGAAAAGAGTCAGCTTTATTTTTTACAGCAGCTTCAACAGAAATCTCGGAAGCAGAGAATCACACCCTAGCTTCGTTTTCAAATGAGCAAGATACAATTTTTATTTACGACATGTAGCAATCCACTTTTCAAGTAAAACTTACATATTCTTAACAAAAAAAAACACATATCCATCACATATTAGCAAACTACTTATTAGTCAAATCATATGCAATTCATTTTAAAAGTTGCTTCCGTTTTCTGTTTGCAATACATTTTATGTTAGCCTGTCTATAATATTGAATTTTACCCTGCATTATTTGCTATGTTATGCTACATAACGCTACGAAGGGGTGTCTGAACACACATTATGGTGTAATCTGTATCTGTGGTTGTACATATTTGTAAATCCAGTACTAAATATCATACTTTTGTATTATCCGGTTGGTCTCTAGAAATGTTATGACTGTATACAAGACAAAGCAATTAAGTAAGAATTTAGTCAAACGTGAGCGCACCCTTTCTTTACAATATGGCGAGTTATGATTGATGCATCAGTACAATAATCTATACTCAAAATTAACAGCAACCAGTGTGTTGTTACCACCAGAAATTAAAAAATATAGCAATGTGAATACTATTTGTGACATCAGTTGTCTTGTCTTGTTGCATTAAATATATATGTATTCGTTCTTAGGTTGTGATTAACTAGTATGGTCTTTACAAGGCAGATTTGCCTCTTAACGTTTTGATGTGCCCATAAAACATTTTGAATGGGTAAAGCCTGTCTCCTCGTGTGGTATTCCCCTATATTCGAACAACTGTTCATCCCGTGTCACTTTATTTGATGTGCATATCTTTTTAACATAGCTTTGAATGTTGCATAACATCTCTCTATGTTCACGTTAACTTGTGACTGCGATGTTGTTATCCCTATCACTTGGTAAAGTTTCTGTAACATTGTTGAGGTGCAGTATGTGTCCTGATCTGAAAGGCGGATAATTCCAACCCTGCTAGATAATGCCTTTAGTGTGTCAGCAACTCTTTTGGCGTCAACATTTTTAAAAATCAAAAGCCTCGGAATATCATGTTGCGACATCAATTTTAGTGAAAATAAATCTGTTTCTTCTGAACGGAACAATGGTCCAACCTCATCCATTGAAATTGAATAATATGGCCCCTTTGTGTTTGTTTGTTGTCCCAAGGGAGCTCTTTCATCAACCCGTATCCTGACTGTCTTCGGACATACACCACAGGTAGTGCCGTTCTGTTGTCTGTCCTTAACGATACCAGGCTAGTAGAAAGACGCTAATTTTTCTGCTCCCGAATTGCCATGTCCTAATTTCATGTCGTTGAGACGTAGTGTCTAAGTAGCACTACCTAAACTCCATGATGGATTCCGTCGCTGGGCATCCGTTTTCTCCAGAGAATACCAGCACAGATCATAACTGTCATCAGGTATTATTTCTTTGCCCGTCTCTCTTCCGTAATCCAAATGGTTCTACTCAGTGTCCACATCAAGTTACAGTCTTTCTCTTCATATTACATTGCTTTGACTTCAGCTAGTGTCTCAAAAGCTGTGAGCACGCTTAATAACATTAAGGGACTAAGACTGCGCTCTATAATTTCTACACCTAACAGAGCTTAAGCGACAGGATCAGGCATTTATCCGACATGCGCGTGTCCCTTGTAATATGGCGCGTCCATATAAAAAATAGCCGACTCGGTTGTCCGATCGCTGTACATGGAGTCTCCAGCTAACCAAACACTCCCGAATCAAAGTTATAGCTGACCCCGTGTCTTTCACAAAACACATTCCACGGTCATTGACTTCACAAGGAACACCAATGCAGGTCGGGGATCAAGAAAATAATACATCTGCTTTTACCGTATTCATTAATCGTAAGAGTCACCAAATAATAAATAATTAAAATAAGATTTATATAATAATCCGAATTTTTATGTTAATGACCGTAGCGACTAAACAACGACTTATCTGAGTACATCTTGACTAAATTAGATGAGCTGACCACGCGGGCTCTTTGTACAAGGTTTACTTGTCGAAATATACACAATTGAAGTTCCAATCTAATCCGCCTTGCTACTTCCAGTCGCCATTCTGTAAACAGGACCTAATCTCGAGCTGATACGCGTTTTGCAAAGCTTCTAAACGATCATGCCCAGAACAAACTCTCTGAGGATGATGTTTTTCATAAATTTACTATCAATTTTTTACTATATTTCTTTTCTGTTTTACTTTCATTAATTCATAAAAAAACAAATTGGTTTTTTTCCCCTTCAAACCTTTTTCTTTCAAATGTTTAAACACATTTTTTTTGATAAAAAAAAAATCTAGTTTCTAGATTTTGATCAAACGTCGTCTGGTTCGCAAACATTCAAGAAAATAATATTTACAATTTATTGATATTGTTTTTGTTAACTCGTTTATTCTTTAAACTATCTCAAATGAATTAATATCAAGATTTTTTGACATCATGTATTGAACTTTTTTTTTACGTAACCGGAAGCGCACGTGATAAGAGAACGTGACCCGAAATTAACTCAAGACAAAAATCGGGACGGTAATAAAATAAAACCAGACGATTATCGATCATTAACAGATTAATACTGTATGTAATGAGAGACTGATGTGACACTCGTTTAATCCATTGCTATCACATCAAGTACTAACTGACATTTATGTGAAAATATCAGCAATAAATGTTTGCGATCGAGCAGACCTACTTTCGTTTTACAGTTTACATTCATTTGTACATGTCGGCATCAACAGTATACCTTAACTTGTGTCCTTTATCGTGCCAAAGATTATACATAGGCGCATTGTCGAGGAAAAGTTCGTGATTAAAAGCTTGTGGGTTTTTTTTATCTTAAAACTATCAGATAAAAGCATAGTGGCATGTTACATCAAGCTACAAGATACAAGAATCTTTATTTTACGTTGAATCTATGTCATAATTAACATAAGCTCTCAGGAGCTTGTATTTCGACAAACATTTATATATATATATAAATGGTAAAACATTTTAACAGTGTAAAGGCAAACAACACATTTTATCATAAGATACCTACGTTGGAAGGATTAAGATAAAGAGGCTAAATAATCATGCTGTACACAATATGGCACTAAAACAACTTACTTAGTAAAACTTAAAAAGCAGTGTAGAGGGCAGGTGATTGGGACAGTCCCTACCTAATTGCCCTCTGGATACTGCTGTACAAAAACTTGTTTTTTTGAAACATAGCGTTTATTTGTAACCTGAAGCACGGATTTGGTAGCCGTTAATATTGGGAGACGTTTTTTGTATTGTAATGACTCGAATGTGTTTCAGGTCAGGTAATAGAGCATCAAATGTATTAAATTCAAATATAGCATCACTTCACAACAATCATGGATTCATATGGACATTCAAATATAGCATCACCTCACAACAATCATGGATTCATATGGGTACAATGTTATTAAAAAGAAATCGTACAGTGCATGCAAGCTGAAATTAACAAATCATTGGTTTGAAATTACAAGTCATCATTTCCATGAAATTTTCAAAATAAATAAGATCTTTATGTCAAAATAAACTTCAGGTTTTGTTTAATGTACGTCCTAGCTATACATGGTCATTTAAGGACGGCCTCCCCCATTTGCTAGATGCATACGTGTGGTGAGTTTGTGCATAATTAAATTGTGTTTTGGGAGTCTGTGATATGTTCATGTGTGTCTCCTTGCGCAGGACTGATGCTGACTTTATAGTGTAATTTCACTGGAGCATACTGCTAACGACACGTCTTATTTTAAAATCGAACCTCGGTATCTCACCATCTTCAATAGCAAAGGGTTCATAATCTAAATTTGTACTATTCAACCTTGGCGGATTTAGCATTGTGTTTAATTTCCCTGCCACCTAGCAGAGACACTTTACTAGCAAAACTTTAAACTTTCAAGATTATTTCAGCACTGGTCGCCTATGTATTTCCCTTGGTTATCATTTACAGTTAGAATATGGCCAATTATCTCTAGAAAATGTTTCTTTAAGTATTGCCCTCCTTTCTTTTACATAAATCATGACATAGTCGACAAGGTATGATATACAAAAAATATGTGGACCATAGGATGGTAATTCGTGCCAAGTCCCTGTGTCATGTTCAATAATTTGAAAGCTTAGAGAACAAG